AACTGTCAGAGGGAGAAGGGGAATGTGATGCAGCTGCAGCAGGGTCTCAGCAAAGCCCACGGGCCCTGCAGGGCTGTCCTGCCTTGGGGTAAGGGGCCAGGCCTTTGCACCCTTCAGAGCTTCGTCACTGCATTTGGGCTGTCCCTTTGAGGCAATTCTTGGGGAGGGACACAGCTGTGAGCCAGCCAGCCACAGACAACTGTCCTGGCCACTAGATAATGAGGGCCTGGGGCCTGGAAGGGGAATTGGGTGTGCACCAGCAGGTCTGTGGGATAGCTGCAGGAGGCACTGGGATGTGTGCTGAGAGAAAGAAGGTGGACTCTCTGAATCTGGGGCACAGGAGGGCTGCATGGGGAGACTGAGGAGACAGGCTGAGACGAACAGGCCAGGTGACAAGGTCTTGAATGCCAGGACAGAGATGTGAGCTTTGTTCCTCCTGCAAAGGTTTTGAGGAAGATTATTTTGGGGGTTGTAAGGAGACCGTGCAGCCCCTCAGGAGTCCCAAATCCTAAGTGTCCCTTTTGGCTGCTTCTTCCACAGAAGTCTCCTAACTGGCTTGCTCTGGCCAACTCACACCCACCACTGTCCCCTCCCCCGAATCGGCTCCCTTCAAATTGTCACTCCCACAGTGCAGCATTCATGCACCAGTTCTAAATGGTCCCACTGTTCAACTTGAAGGAGAAGTAATACCAATTCCCATGTTTGCTCAGAGAGCACCATATTTCATCAAACTAGAGCCCATGCTGGCTCAGATTTCTGACTGAGACAATGTTCTGTAATCCTGGTTTATTCACATGTCACGAGTATTTTAGCAAAACAGAAATGAATGGCCCGAGCCACCCCAGGAAGTGGCGGGAGAGCTAGGTTCCGCCCAGGGGAAGTCGGCCTTCTCCTGCCACAGCTCTCCAGGGAGCTGACTTGGATTCTCCAAGTTTCTCCCAATTTTAAGAAAGAGAGCATGGGCTGAGAAGGAGTCACAAAGTGGGTAGTTATTTCCCTATAAAACAGTAACTCCACGGATGGATATTGCCAGAGCAAAAATAAAATCTGTCATTGATTATAAAGTCCTTTGTGCTTGTTATTTCGCAGATTTATTACACTTGGGCCCAGAGGCCTGGAGGCCCTGGGATTCTGCCTCTCGCGCCCCAGCAAGCCTCCAGCCGCCTTTTCACACCGCACTCCCCAAATGGAACAAGGGCTCAAGTCGCTGGCATTTCTTTTGTCCTAATGGCCATGCACTTTGGAAAACTGGACCAGGAGCTACATGAATCCTCTTCTGAAACACAGGGACCTACAGATACCAATACTAAGGCTCGCTGACAGAAGTCTATGACTTCTAATCAGGGAAACCTCCTTCCTTTTCCTTTTTGTTTTTTTTTCTTTCTTTTCCCCCGTCTTTGGCACTGTGTGCTAAGAAATGCATTTTATCTGCAGAGCAAGGAATGGCCGGGCTGCACCTCCATCAGACCTGGAGTCTGGGTCCACATTAAATAGGCCAAATAGGACCTGTGCTATTTAGTCGCATCTCATGTTAAATCTTATCAGTGAGCCTCGTAATACGGAACTCTTGTCTCGACTTTAGAGTTGAAGAAACTGAGGTGCAGAGAAGGCAAAAAACTTGCTTGGGGCCACCAGCTGGGTGTGCAGGTGAAAAGGGGGACATGAACCCGGTCCCAGTTTGCTCCGAAGGATCATGTAGACCTTCTCACTTCAAACAGGTTGATGTGAGGCCACAGACTGAGCTCGAGTGTGGGAACTGAAGCAGAGCCTGGAGCCAAGCTTCTCACTTAGACAGGATACCATTGGGGCTCCAAACAGGTGCTGGGGCTGACCAGGGTGACAGAGCTAATCAGAGGCACAAATCAACTCTCCGACAAATTAGCTGGACAATAGCACGAAACAACTGTTCAGGAACATTCAGTGGCGTCACTTAGGGAAAGTTTCCTGATGAAAGCAAATGGATGTGCTTGTCAGAATTGCCCCGAGTCTGCCTTCTCCTTTCCTCCGGCGGCATAGAACTTCATGACTCGCTCTTCACTCTTTCCTCTGGGTTTTCTGAGCTTAAGGAAGCCTGGGTATCCCAGAATGTGCAGCAGAGAGTCCTGAAAAACCGAGGGCCCCCAAAAACCTCTCACCTCCCTGGAGAGTACACTTTCCACCACAGTTGGCACGTTCAAGACCTCAACACCCAGTAAGACTGGTTTCTGATGCTCATAGGACTAAGGTAATTTTAGTAGAAAGCTGTCAGAAATCACAGCTCTCAGGACGTGAATCCACAGTGTGCCATCTCAACTTTTATTCTGAGCTGCAGCTCGAGCTATTACAAACAAAACATTCTCACTGCAAGCTCCACAATTAGCCTCATTTCCACGAGCTGTTCTGCATGAGCTGAAATTGCACAGCGATTGTTTCTCATCTTAGCAATGCTATTTGCAGGCAGTGCTGGGAGCCAGCAAGGATGTGACCCGGTGGTAATCTGAATTGCTTCACCAAACACATTTTTATCCCATCATCTCGGCTACATGAAAGGGGGCCATAGAGCTCCAGTGTTCAGACTTTACAGTCCCGCTGTTCAGCAATAAAATGAGGCAAGAAATATTAGCCGTCCCCGGCTGATGCCTTAATTCTTTCCCAACAATGTCAGAGAATCTGTGCCCAACGGTTTTTAGTGCCGGCTGAAGCCTGACCCTCTGGCTGGCGTGAATGGAGCGGGAATGAGTTAAGGAGAGTAAGAAGGCTTTGAGGGACACAGATCCAGAATAGCCGAGCTTGTCCCAGCCTCCTGCGGACTCCTCTCCTTTTCACAGGACTCGATTGTGTATGGCCCCAGCAGAGACAAAATACCCCTGAGCAGAGGTTACCCCCAGCTGGTACAGGTCAGAGGCATTCTGGGGCAGGAGAGGAGGGGGCAGAGGGGAAGTGAGGGGCACATGCAGAGGGGGGTGGGCAGGGCGGAGGAGGGAGCAGGAAAAGACAGTGTGGAGCATTTACACGGGGAGAGTCCTGGTGTCCAGGACTGGAACTTGATCACGGCACCTCCACACTCTTTGAAAATGGGTCCAGAAGTTGGGTGCCATGTGTGCTAATTATTTTTTAAAAATGCTTCTCTGTAGTTTCCAAACGCTACAGGCCCCAAGTCCCAGGTTGCGTTTCACATGGCAGGGTTTTTTTAAATTACAAATGGATTGTGTTTTACACACTAACAGAAGCTTTTTCCAGCAATTTTTTTCTATTATTTTCTTCTGAGTCCTCCAAGAAAAGGAACCACTTTGGCTCAGGAAGCCCAAAGCTACCAGGGAAGGGAACAGTGTGTTCACAAACAGTCCTGTGAATGTGGCAGGGGCAGCATCCGGGACACCCCCCCCCCCCCAGAAGGTGGCTGTATGGAGGCCCCTCCTCCCCTCAGAGGATTCATAAGCTCTGTGTGGGCCTCGGACTCCTCCTCACAGCCTGCGGACGCTGTGGAGCCTTCCTCAGAAGAATGTGTTTAACATGTGAGGTAGTAAAAGAAGCCATTACATTAAAATGTCCTTATCAAAATATTCTAAAAACAACTTTGCAGCATAGTAATATATATGCCTTTTAAATTAATTCATTAAATAACTAGCAGAGGGCTTAACAACTACTTTAATTTTTAAATAGTGACAAGCTAAGAAGATACTTTGAGAAATCTGAAACAGCTCCCATGATACAAAAATATCTGTGCTTGGTAGTTATTGGTGACAAAGTCGCTGCCGGAGTGGTTGGCTGGCTGCCCTTCTAATGTTAGGAAATGCTGTTTCCGCTACAGGCTGGTAAAATAAAGATGCAACTCCCCACTCAAATTCCCAGGCCCGGGGAAACTCTGCATAGGGGGAACCCTGCGAAAGGCGAGGGTCCAGGACCTTCTGCCAGCGCTGAGCTCAGGGCGCTCGGCTGGGAATTCAGGGCACCCTCACTTCATCTGGAAACCTTCTTGGGCAAGCCTCTGCTTCCCTCTCCTCTCCCGGGCTTTGGAGAGGTTTGGTGAAGCCCTTTGAAACCACGTCCTTCTTCAGGACAGTCCGATGGTTACATGTCCCAGGTCCAAACGTTAGCAAGGACATTTGGTGTGTTCCTCCAAGGACTGGAATCTCTGTCCAGATCCAGGGTCAGCTAATGCACTGATTCTGGATCCTGTTTCCGGTGCCCGGCTGGCTGAGCTTTGGGGGCAGGGATTTTATTCTCCAAGGCTGCCCAGAGGGAAGGTGGGTCCCTCCCTGGGGCTTGCATTTGGGACACAGTGGCTCGGAGGCCACAGGGCTCACACTCATCACCTCCCTGCTCCTCACGGGGGAGCTGTCATCTTGCTGCCACTTACCAGAAGTCCTCAGATGCCATTGCAGGAGCAACCCTGCAGGCGGCCCTCCGGTTCCCCCTCCCCGGCGCCCCAGCCCCCTCGCTCGGCCCGGCCAGCCCTTGGCGCCAAACACTGGAGCCTCCAGGGTCGCCTTTCTCGGGTTCCAGCCAGGGGAGCGGGAGCTAGCTGCCCACGCCCACGCCCACGCCCACGCCCACGCCCCCACCCCGGCCGCACTCAGCGCACAACCTGCGCCGCCCGCCCCGCCACAGCCACAGGCACAGGCACAGCCACAGCCACAGCCACCGCCACTGCCTGGCGCGCACAGCCGGGCGGCACTCTCCTGCTGGCCGCGCCCCGGTGGTCCGGGAAGCAGGGCTGGTTCCCCGAAGGCGCTGCTGGCCCCCCGCCCCGCTCCACCCTCAGACCCTCCGGGCCCGGGCCGCAGCTCCCTCCGTGCGCCACGAAGTTCCGCGGAGGCAGCGCCCGCCGGGCTGGGCTGGGGACGGACGGCGTGACCACAGCAGGGAGCTGAGGCGCGGGCGGACTGAGCGCTAGTGGGTCGCCCCACGCGCCCGCACCCGCCACCCCCGCCGCCAGGCGCCAGGGCTGCCGCACACCCATCCTGGGCCAGCGCCCGCGCCCTCCTCCTTGCCAACCGGGCCCTTCATCGCCACCCAGCATGGCCAGGGGCCCCGCTCCCGCCAGCCTGGGGCCAGGGTCCCATCTGCTGCCGCTGCTGCCCTGGCTCCTGCTGCTGCTGCTGCTGCGGGGCGCTGGCGGCAGCCACACAGCCCCCGCCAGGCCCGGCCCGCCCATGGCCACCTATGGTCTGGCCGGGGACAGGGACCCCCAGCGGCTCCCGGGGGACAGGGCCGCCGCTCCGGGCCCCGGCGCCCAGGACATGGTGGCTGTGCACATGCTGCGACTTTATGAGAAATACAGCCAACGGGGCGCGCGGCCCGGAGGGGGCAACACGGTGCGCAGCTTCAGGCCCAGGCTGGGTAAGTAGAGGCCCGAGCCTGTCCTTCTCTCCTTTCCTCGCCTTCATCCTCACCCCTGCATCTCCACCCTCACCGTTCATCCTCTATCCCTGCATCTCCCCGTCACCTCTTACTTCCATTCGTGGTCGCATCCATTCCGTGTTTCACTGAAGGTTCACCAAGCGCTCTGCCAGTCCCTGAGCCGCCTCCCTGGGGTCACCAAAGCAGCCCAAAGTGACCTGTCAGGGGCTGTGGACCTGGAAGCTGTCACACTGGCTGATACAGACCTCCCATACACAGGCCGTTAGCACAGGATGGAGAGGGGACTGGGCTGGGAAGCTCATGGTGGGGATGGGTGTCACAGGGTCAGCTGTGTTGGCTCTGCACACCGCATAGGGCACTGCGAAGCATTGCAGGTGGGCAGAGAAGCTCCAGGCCCGGGTCCCAGACAGAGGGTGTGAGCCTCGAGCTGGGGCAGTGGGTGGGCTTGGTGGCTGGGGAAGTAGGGTGGACCAAAAGGGGCCTTGGGTGACAGGCTTGAGGCCTGCGGGGCACCGGCATAAAGTGCTGGGAGGGGGGGGGGAGGGTGAGGAAGGCCCAAACTGGAGCACAGATTCTTTTCCCTCCGTACTTTGAATGGGCCTGCACAGAGGCCACTTGCAGGGGACCCCCTACTCAGAGCACCCCAGCCTGGACCTCCCTGTCTGTCCACCTGGGCCAGCTGTGCTGGGTCCCCGGGAAGCAGAGAGGTGCCAGAGTCCGGAGAAGACCCTGGTTGTCCTGGAGATTTCTCCTGGTCACAGGATGCCATTCCAGAATCTGTGGGTAGGGCCCTCTGCGGCCCTTGTGGGGGAGGCTGCCCGGGGTCAGAAGAAAGACCCTTAGGAACAAGCGTGCTTTGGGGCCAGACGTCCTGGGCTCAGATCTGCCCCCTGATCAATGGCTTGTGACGCAAGGTAGCACCTGTGGCTCGGAGCAGCTCCTGGGAAGCTTGGCCTCACAGACCCATGTGCTGGGAGCACCTGCTGGAGAGAGGCCAGTTCCCTACCCCGCACTGAGCAGACTCGGGGGGTTCCAGGTCAACCAGAACTAACTCCGTCCTCCCTACTACATTTATTCACCACCTGGGGCTATTTTTGCAGTAGCATTATTAAATGAAGCCACTCAAGAATCATCGAGCATGGATGTGACCTTGAGCATATCATTAAATCTCTGTGGACTTGAGTGTACTCATTCCACAAAATGGACGTTCATGCCAGGATCTTCCCTGGGGGTGGCAGGAAGAGGAGCTGAGGTGACGTGTGTGAGCCGAGCTGCTGAGCCTGCTCTCTGCCAGGCACCAAACCCTACATGCTGTTCACCTAGGAGTTCAAGCATTTGTGTTCATAAAGGTGTAGACTTGACCTTGCCCCCATCGAGTCAGTCCTCAAAGCATTGCCGTTGAGGAAAGCAAGACTGGCAAGGTCATTGCTGCAACAAGCAGTGAGCACCAAATGAGCCACCAATGGCTGCAGCCCCTGGGGGAGGTGCAGGTGATCTGTTTTCAGAGATGGGGGGGGGGGGTGTGGGGTTACAGTCCTTCAGACCCAGCCCTCCCATTTTACAGAGGAGGAAACTGAGGCAGGGGACGAGGCTGTGCACAACAGTAACAGTGGTTGGCACTTCCCATCTGCTAAGCCCATGCTATCATCACAGCTACCTCCCTCCCCAGCTCCATCATAACTGAGCCCGGGGCGTGGCAGAGGGAGGGCAGAGCAAAGGGTCTGGGAGGTGATGCTGAAGGAGCCTGGGGCTGTCTGACAAATCCAGGATTCCCGTCTGCATCCTCTGACCACCAGCTGCTGGCGTGCGCTGTGGGCGCGCACTGTGGGCGCATCACTTTACCTCTCTGAGCATCTGCTCTTGTGCGTACAGCCGGGACAGGAAGGGCAGTGGATGGGTGGGTTTGGTGCCCACAGAGAGCAGGCTCAGCAGCTCAGTTTCTCATCCCCTCCCCCTTGATTCACTGAAGTTGTTTCTGATGCAGCCACTTCCCAGCCTCAGAGAGGCTGCTTTCTGACCAGCCCTGAGGAGGTGTGAGCTGGGCAGGGCTCCCTCACTTTATGAATGAGGCTCTGGAACCAGAATGCCCTGGGCCAGCCGGCTCCAGGCACTGCCTCTGCAGCTCGGTGGGTGGTGTCTCTTCCTGCTCAGCAGGTTCTGGGCCCTCAGCCCTAGTTTCCGGGAAGTATGCTCCTCACCTGCCGCTGGGCAGCCAGCTCGGTGCCCAGGACAGGCTGCGGCGGCCTGGTCCAGATCCTGTCTGTGACTAGGACAAGGGCCTGGACTTGCTCATGCCTCAGCCTCTTCGTTACTGAAGTTCTGCCTTTTTTATAAGTATTTTTTAAATGATCTGAAACATGTCAAGTGTTTAAAAGAATGCCTGATATTTGTCTCAATAATGTGTTAGCTCCCACTATTATTACTCCAGCCACCCTCCCTCCCTTCCACTGCGTGTGCTTTGTTCCTTAGTAAGGCTCCCTCAGTGGAGAGCCTCTGAGCCTGACTTCAGGGTTAAGATTAGACACCCCACTCCAATAACCTGCATTAAACCTTAGCTCTCACCCACTGCTGTAATGCCAACACATTATTTACCCTCTCTCAGCTTGACCTCTTTATCTGTAAAAGGAGTATAATAATACACACCTATCTGTCTGCAATGTCAACAGTCACATTCATTTCAGTTCCCCAAGTCTTTCTTAGCATCGAGGCCCACAATGCCAGTGGGCAGGGTGGCAGGTGTCGTAAGCTCAGATGGCACCAAGATGCATTTTCGGGCCCTTCCCAGAAACGCTCAGGAGCTGACACCACGGGGGCTGGGGGTGACTTTGAGATCTCCAAGGAGCAGGAGGGAAGGGCATGGGTAGTGCTAGGGGAGCCCTGGCAGCAGGTGAGACCTAAGGCAATGGAAGGGCTGGTTGCACTGGACGGCTGTGGGGATGAAGCAGTGGCTGCTTGTCTGGCCCTGTGAGGACTTGGGTTTGAGGGAGAGAATGAGGTGAGGAGAGGGGCCAGTGCGTTATAACCCGGCCTTCAATAGCTCCAGAGTCCTAGATGCTGTGGGGGTATACAGTGTTACACAGTGATGGGGGGCTGGAGAGGGAGAGGGGGCAGAATTAAGAGAGAGGATGGGAGGGGAAGGAAGAGAAGAGAGTGGGGGAAAAGGGAGAGAGGGAGGAAGGGAGGGAGGGAAGGAGGGAGGGAGAGAGGGAAGGGGGAAGGAAGAGAAGGGAGAGGGAGACAGGGAGGGAGGGGAAGGAAGAGAAGGGAGGGGGAGAGAGAAAGGGAGGGGGAGAGAGGGAAGGGAAGAGGAAGGAAGGAGAGACTCAAGAGGAGGAGAAAGGAAAGAGAAAAAAGAAAGATCATAAAAGTAATACTGGGGAAAATCTAGAAATCATAGAAAACCACAGTAAAGAGAAGAAGTCACCCCTAATCAGTACCCAGATAGAACCAGAGGTAGCATGTTGGTGGGATGTGTAGTTTGTAGGATCATATGTTCAACATGCAGGTAAAATGTGTTCCATTCTTTTTGAAGTTGCTTTTTTTATTGCTTCTTGTTATTGGGATTCCGTCTTTTTCTTCCTGATTTGTGGAGGTTCTTGATGTATTAAAGACAGTAACTCTTCACCTACAAAGGTGACTCCCTGTGAAGCCTGAGAGGGCCCAGAGGGGGTGGGGTCTGGGCATAGTGGCCTGAGGCCGTGCCCGGGACGAGCAGTGGCGGAGGGACACAGAGTGCAGGACGGCTGTGGACCAGCAGGTGCAAAGCCCAGAGGACTGGGATTGGTAGATGGTGGAGGGGAAGAGACCATGAGTGTCCTCAGGCTCCTGTTGGGTGGGGAGGGGACAGGTGGCCTTGCCACTCACGGGGCAAGAGGTAGGGATCAGGGCGCAGTGCCCTGAGTACAGTCGATGCTCCCAATGCCACGGGGCACCGTGCTGTGGTGATCTTACAACTTTAGGTGGTGGGTACAAATCTTCTGTGGTTTGCTGGGGAGGAAACTGAGGCACAGAGATGGTTCATGAGGCACAGAGAAGGCCGCAGAGCTAGTAAGTGATGCAAGCAGACTAAACCTGACTCTGGGCTGCCTGAAAGACAGACCCTCTGTTACTCAGCTCTCCCACCTCTGCATCACCGCCCCCTGCGTCCTTCCTTCAGCTCATGTGGTGCTTGTGTCTTCGCTGGGCTCTCCTCTGGTCACCTCGATGGCTATTCCGAGGGCAGTGGGTGACAGAACGCATCTCAGTGGCTCGCGTCCTGCTCATGTAGGGGAAGCCCATCTGCTAAGTAGTGCAGACAGAGCTCGCACAGACCCCGCCTCATCACCAGCATGGGGTCCGGAGCACTGTCCCTTGGCCTTGTGCTGGACCCTAGGGACACGACATCAGACAAAGCTGGCAAAGCCCCTGCTCTTTGGGAACATGTGTTCTGGGGGAATGGGGAAGTGACACATATGTCAGGAGATGGGGAGGTGACACGGAGATCAATGAGGCAGGGAACCACAGAGCCACCTCGCGCTGGGCCAGTCCAGATGTTGCAGGCTCACAGCCCCCACCCAGTGCTTCCCAAACTTCTCTGCTGGTTAGAACCCCTGAGCTGCAGGTGGCACTACAGATTCCTGCGCCCCATTTTCCGGGCTCTCAGAGTCACCTCCAGGGAGGAAGGCAGTGATCAGGGATCTGGGAAAGGCAGGCCTTGGCCATGACACCCAGGGGCTGCAGTGGTGGGGGCAGCCCGTCCCAATGTGCATTGACCATGCGCTGCTCCTGTGTGTGCAGCGGGCCACACCTCATGCGGGAAGGGGAGGCGGTAGACAGGGGGAGGCGGGAGGGGGAGCCACAACTCTGTGTGTTTGTCTGAGAAATAGATAAGGCGGGCCTGGAGGCCACCTGAGTCTGACTGGCAGTCCCAGGGCCTCTGTGCGTCCTCCCTACCTGAACTATGCCTCCTTCCTATTGTAAACAATGACCTTATACTGAAGATTTTCATTTTGAAAGTAATCCCAGCCGATCTCCTGGGTGCAATGTGAGGGCATCCGCACCACCCAGCACCCAACACCCAGCACCCAGCACACATCCACATCCCGAGCCCTGGAGCTCCGCCACTCCCCCAGCTTTGCCCAGCAGGCCCACTCAGGCAGCAGGCTATAAACCAGGGCAGCCTTCCAGGCAGCTCCGGTCTGCTGGTCTGCAGCACCCCTGGGAGGCCCGGGGACCACTCCTCCCTCCCATTCAAACCCTAGAGAGGACCTGGCCATTCAAGGAGCTTGTGCTGCCAGGCCAGGCAGCTTCCTGGGGCTGCAGACCCGGGGGGGGGGGGGGGGGGGAGGGGCGTGGCCCTGGGAAGGAGGGTCACTTGGTAGACCCAGGAGAGAAAGAAAGAGGGGCTGACAGCTCCAGGATGCAGAGGCAGAGCATTCTCCAGCTTCAGGTGGGCTGTTTGAGGCATCCCAGTTCCTACCATGGTCTGGGCCTCTGGGGCAGCCTGGACACTGGGAATTTTGTTGGTGACCTTGTGCAGTTGATTTCTTTCTTTGTAAACCAAGCAGAAAAGCCACTGGGCAGCCCAGCCAGAGGTGCTCCGTTGGCTGAGTGTGGTCGTGTGCACAGAAAGGCTGCTGGCTCAGTGCCCAGGCAGGCACACACCTGGGTTGCGGGTTTGGTTCCAGTCAGAGCACACACACAAGGCCAGAGGCAAGTGTGTCTCTTCCAGCATCTCTCTCTCCTTCCCTCTCAGCATGTCCTGGGTGAGGGCTGTTTTTAAACCGTTGGGCAGCCAGGTGACTGTGTCCAGGGCCCTTTCCCCTCGACAGCCCTCCGCACAGGACAAGCTGAGGCTAGCTCCTCCCCACCTCGCAGGAAGTAATGTGAGAATTACAGGAGGATGGCCTGGCTGGCAGGAGGGGCTCCCTAAATGGGTGTTCCTCTTCCATCCCAGCCCCCCTCTAACAGGCTGTGTCTGTCCTCCCCCCGCAGAAGTGGTCAACCGGAGGGCCCTGTATCTCTTCAACCTGACATCCCTACAGGACACGGAAATGATCCTCATGGCCACCTTCCACTTCTACTTGGAGCCACGGGGGCCCCAAGCTCACGAGGTGCCCTGCAAGCAGCGGGCCAAGAACGCGTCCTGCCGCCTGCTGCTTCCTGGCCGGCCCGCCCGCCGCCTGCTCTTCCGCAGCCTCTCGCCGAACACGGCCACGCAAGGGCTGCTCCGGGGGGCCATCGCCCTGGCGCCCCCGGCACAGGGCCTGTGGCAGGCTAGGGACATCTCCCCCATAGTCAAGGCGGCCCGCCGGGATGGCGAATTGCTTCTCTCCGCCGAGCTGGATTCGGGGGAGAAGGACCCTGGGGTGCCCAGCCCCAGCGCCCATGCACCCTACATCCTCATCTATGCCAATGACCTGGCCATCTCGGAGCCCAACAGTGTGGCGGTGACACTGCAGAGATACGACCCCTTCCCTGCTGGAGACCCGGAGCCCGGCGCAGCCCCCAACAGCTCCACGGACCCCCGTGTCCGCCGGGCCACGCAGGCCACTGGGCCCTTCCATGACAATGAGCTGCCAGGGCTGGACGAGGAGCCAGCACCGGCGCCCCACTCCCCGCACGGCCACAAGCACGCCCTGTGGCCCAGCCCCTTCCGGACACTGAAGCCGCGGCCAGGGCGCAAGGACCGCAGGAGGAAGGGCCCGGCCGCCTTCCCGGCTGCCGCCGCCTCGCAGGTGCTGCACTTCGATGAGAAGACGATGCAGAAAGCCCGGAGGAGGCAGTGGGACGAGCCAAGGGTCTGCTCCCGGCGGTACCTGAAGGTGGACTTTGCAGACATTGGCTGGAACGAATGGATCATCTCTCCCAAGTCCTTCGACGCCTACTACTGCGCCGGAGCGTGCGAGTTCCCCATGCCCAAGGTAGGCTCTGCCTGACTGGCTCTCAGCTGTTCCGGCTGGCCAGTCCCTCTGCCTTGTGCTGCTTCCTGTCTCTCAAACAGGATCAAAACCCCTTCCACCTACTGGGACCTGGGGAGTCGGCTTCAGCCCCCAGATGGATGTGCTTGGCTGTGCTTTTGAAAATGATGACTTGGCTGAACTAAGTTTTAAGTCAAAATGTCTCTGCCTTTGCCAAGGGGAGACTCCATCCTTAGGTCCATCCCTACAGCAGCCAACCGCAGAGGGTGCTCCCCGGAGACAGGACAGGTCAGCAGCTCCCTCCTCACCACAGCATCTGCGTCTGTGACTAGCACAGCTGGTTTCAGTGAGCCCAGGGAAGACTCCGCCTCCTTTCCTCCCACGCAGGCAGAGACCCCCAGCACACCTGACACTCAGGATGCAGGAGTCTGGAGACACACACCATGGGCTGCCTGGTCCCCGAGCTGGACCAGAAAATGTCTGCAGCCTCAGCTTCCCTCCAGGCTGTTAGGGGGGCTGTGGCTTCTTCTGTCCGCCTCCCACCGCCTGAGCCTGTGGCTGGTAGCCAGCTGATGCCGATCTTCAGCTGGCAGTGAACACTCCCCTTCTCTCAGCTCTTCTGCTGAGTTCTGGGTCATGCCTTCCCATCCAGGAAAGGAAGTCAGTGCATAAATCCCACTGGAACCTCCAGAAGTCAGCCAGCTGGGAACCCCCCTAGCCAGCGGTGCATTCCCCTGCTTGGGCATTGGGAGGCTTCTCAAAACCCTGCGTGGGCCAGAGAGAGGGCAGGAGGTGCCCGCAGGACGGGTGTACAGGAAGGTGGGACAGAGTCAGGGCTCTCAGGCTCCTGCTGGCTGGCCCTGCAGGCCCCTGTCACCTGGCTGGCTGCCTTCCCACTTCCCTGACACCTGCCTGCATCCCGCAAATCAGAAGTCCCTCCCTCCTCTCCCCACCCCCTGCTTCCCGCCAGCGGGCTGTCTTCTGCACAGTAACACAGAGCTCCGGCCGGCTGAAACCTCTCCTCAGGTCAGGGTGCTTTGGAGCAGCGCTCGGGGCGGGCTGCGTGCCTGAGGCTCCCGCATGGCGAGGCTGCCTGGGGAGAGGAGCCTGCATGGCCGGTGAGCCGGGTTTCATGCCTGGCTGTCTTCCTGAGGCGTCTTGGTCAAGTTTCTTAGTCACTTTAAGTTTCTTCACCAGTGACATGTAGGTAATAGCCACCTTCCCCAAGACTGGTACAGTGGTGAAAATGGGGTGATGCAGGTGACACAGCACTGAACCGCCCTCCGCCCTCTGCCTTCCGAGGAAGCGTCAGTGTCCAGGCCGCCGTGTGCACACATGTACACATGTGCGGCTGCCCGTCAGCGCCCAGAGCGCCGTGGAGCAAGCATGTGGGACTCTTGGGCCTGGAAACCGGGGCTGCTGTGGCCAGGCTGAACCCCCTGGGCGTCCCCCTCTGAAGGCGCCTGCCCGGTTCCAGGTGCTCCTCCGGGACGGGTGACGGTGAGGAGCAGGTGCCCCCACGCGGCCAGTGCCATGTGGGCGCGTGACGGCTCTGCGAGGCCGGAGGGGCAGGAAGGCCTGAAGCTCTTGCAAACCTCCCAGGGACTCGGTCCGTGGCTGACTTGGGAGGAAAGGGGACCAGCCCTGGAATGGCACCGTTTCCTCTAGGCTGATGCCTTTTCCCAGGGCTGAGGGAAGGCCCTGCAGGCGCTCGGTGGGTGGGTGAGGGCACAGCGCTGCGGTAACCATACTCCTTTCCCCCTGCAGGTCGTCCGCCCGTCCAATCACGCCACCATCCAGAGCATCGTCAGGGCCGTGGGCATCGTCCCCGGCATCCCGGAGCCTTGCTGCGTTCCAGACAAGATGAGCCCCCTGGGGGTCCTCTTCCTGGATGAGAACCGGAATGTGGTTCTGAAGGTGTACCCCAACATGTCTGTGGAGACCTGTGCCTGCCGGTAAGACCGGTTGCTCCAGGGATGGAACACCCCCTCCCCCCGGTGCCCTCGGGGGAGCGGCCTCCGGGGCCCTGGAGTGAGAGTTGGACTGGAGGTGCCGCTGCAAAGGCAGGCCGCGCACAGGAGGGGCTATCCCCAGCGCGTCGTTCCGGGGCTTTTACTGCCGGTGACTGAGCCCCTAAAGGAACCCGAGAGGCAGCCCAGCCTGAAGGCTGGTCGCGCCCACCTGGCCCTGAGGCCTGCAAGCTGAACCCGTCCACACCACTGGCGCCGGGCACCATCCCCTGGCCCTCAGCGGACACTGCACACCGGGGCCTCGCTCCGCTCAGAGGAAACAGCCTCATTACACAATCACTTTGGCCACATGTTAATACTGGAAAACGGGCCCCAGCAACAGTTAAGACGGATGTTTCTTTCCCCAGATTCCACTGCAAAAGCCTTTACAATCTGCACATGTAATCGATTTTCATTTCTTTTTCTTAATATATATTTTATTTTAAACAAGAAGGGGGTTGTAACCATTCAGCATGGGTGATCATGCTGGTTAAGTGTGCATTGTTTAAACGTGCTTATTGAAATAACACGCAGCAATATCTTGGGATACTAAAAAATAATCAAGATGTTTATATTTTTATAAATTATACTTTCTCTACTGTAGAGTGTGTGTGTTATGTGTTTTATGGAAAGCTAATAAATTAAAGGTACAGTGGTATCTTAAAAATTGAATGTTAGCAGTTCCAAAACTCTGACGAATCCCACCTGGGAGCACTCGGCCCGCATGGCTGCTGGGAGCACCTTCGTTAGGGTCATCTGAGACCCTGTAGGCCATCTCTGCCCCAAACTTGGGAACCAGCTGCTCCCGTCCCTCCCTCCGGTCCAGGCTGCAGCGGCCTGGGTGGCCAGCAGCCTCCCGGAGCGTCTGCGCACTCCGCCTCAGAGGGACACTGAATGGTCAGAGGGTCTGAGACATCACCAGGAACCTCTGCGGTTGGTGCCTGGTCCTGGCACTGCGGGGGACTCGGGCGCGCAGTCTGGAGTGGCTCCTGCGGTGCCAGCGCTCCGGGCCTGGAGGGCTGCTCCCTGGCGTGGGGAGAACGGCCACCCCAGAGCAGCCTCCCGATGGCTCCCTTTCTCTGTGTGCGTGGTCTGTGATGCTGCTTACAGCCCGCTAGGGCGGAGCGCCCAGAGTTTCCTCAGGAGAATGTGGTGTCTGGCAGTTGTCTGGCTGGGCCCTGAGCGGATGGCAAGCCCAGTCTTAGGAGGACATGGAGAAGCAGGGAGCAGGCCTCCAGGGTGGGCTTAGAGGAAAGACACCCATGGCGTCTGTCTTAGGCCAGGTCCCTGAGACCGGGGTTTCTCCACCAGATGCAGGAGGAAATCCCCAGGAGAAACAGAATGGCTAAAGAAGCACAGGGGGGAGGGGGGGGGGGGAAGCCGAGCGCCCCGGCCTCGCCTGGGTCCTGTGGGGAGCTGTGGGGCTGAACTACACCTGAGGGTTGGTCAGGCCTTGACCAGGGAGCTGGGTGTTCAGACCCCATCCCCGCTGCCTCAGGAGGGGTGATGGGAGGAACAGAAACTCCCAGCTCTCTGGCCCCTGTGCAGGCTGCCTTGGAAGAAGGCTGCAGTTCAGCTCCTGGACACAAGGCGACCAACAAGAGAGAGGGCCCAGGGCAGGGAGGCAGGAGTCCTGAGGCCTCTGGTCAGAGCCCCCAGCGCTGCTCACTCCTCTGAGATGCTCCAATGGCCCTGCGACACGTGCACACACAGCTGCCTGGCACACGGCCCTGCCTCTGGGCAGAGACCTGGTGAAATGAGGGAGTGCGTCCCATTCCTGCAGGCGTGTTCGCTGTGAACTGCTGGGGTGGCTCACGTGGCCGGCTAGCTTAGCACTTGGTGTGCCATGTCTAAGCCTTGTGGGGCCATGGCAGGACATAAGTTAATGGGAAAATAAGGACAAAGCATCGGCCTGATGAGGCTCCCATGCCTGCCTTCATGGTGTCAGATTCCGTATTTTCTCTTCTCCGTTCAATTTCCTCTCCTCCAATTGCTCCCTTTCCATTTCTTGGTGGAAACGGGGAGACCTACGCTAGTTCTCTCTGTCATTTTCAGTTTCTGAGAGATCTTCTGAGTCACCCTGAGTGCCTAGAGCTCCTCTGCTCTGTTTCTGGATCCGGGGTGGAGGGAGCAGGCTGGGAAGGCATCCGGGTACTGCCATGGGCAGTGGATGGTGGGACTCAGGGGTGCGATTTGGGAGTGCGGTGGGAGGAGCTGTGCCTGGTGAACAGAGGGGAAGCCTCGGGGCACCTTGCAGCACCTAATCAGAGCCTCAGAAGCACAGGCTCAGGCTGGGGAGGTGCCCACGGGCCTTTCCAAGACGGGCAGTGTCAGCTCCGACACCAAGGCTGCTCCATCAAGGCCCACGCCTCCTGGCCAGTAGCCGAATTGCCAGCCAGTTGGGTTGCCCCAGTGGCACTGAATGACCTCACAGTAAAGCAAGGTTTAAAAGAAAGCATGCAAATGAAACAACTTTATTTCCTTAAAATCCAAGTATCACCATCACACAAGAGGCTCAGGAAAGAGCCCAATGCATGGGTCCCTGCGGTCTTGGGTCTGGAGGCAGGAGTGGATGGCTGCCACCGCCTGCTCCTGAGGCAACATCCTCTGGAAGGGTGAGTCCATGTGACAAATACAAACTGTGCCACTGAGAGCTGGCAGTGTAAGGCTGGGAGAAAACGTGGAAGACAAAGCCAGCCATTTCCTGAACTAGTGGGGAAACCGCGTCCAGATCCCACCAGGTGCCTTGCCTGAGGTGTCCCAGCGGGCGCCTCTGTGTGCCCAATCCCCTCACATCACCCGTCAGCGCTGTAGCTGTCACAGCACTTCTCAGCCAGGATGGAGGCAGAGCCATGTGGGGATGGGGGTGGTTGGGGAAGGTAATAGGGAGTGGGGGGAGTCAGCAGAGGTCTGGGGTGGGAGGCATGAGGGGCTCACAGGGAGAGGAATGAAGGGGGCCCCGCCAGGATGGAAGGGCTAGACTCATTGGTGGCGGAAAGGCACTGCAGATCCCACTTGAGCAGATGCATGTGGTGGCACCCATGCCAGGAGAGCTGGAGGGGTCAGAACCAGAGCTAATTGTAAATTGTGCTCATAAACATGATGTTTCAGTGCGAGGCTCTTCCCTTATCAAGGCTGGAAGCATAAGACCCTTGACACACCCACTTCACTTCTGAGATTCCCCTCTTCCCTCTTTTGCCTGAGGTGACGCTGGGTCCAGCTCGGCCCACACTTCTCAGGCAGAGTCCAGTCCCTACCTGGTCTCTCCCAGCAGCCCCTCCCCTTGGGGGTTGAGCAAAGGAATGGGCTGGTCATCATTCACTGTTCTAGCATCTACCAAGTGCCAAGGCCCACGTTGGGCAGCATCTGCTACTTCTCCTCCTGTGGCTCCTACGGACTTCCTCTGCCAAACCAACCTGCACTTCCTCTACCAAATAAACCTGCCATTCTACCAAACCAACATGCAACTTCCTCTGCCAAACCAACCTGCACTTCTTCTACCAAATAAACCTGCACCTCCTCTACCAAACCAACCTGCAACTTCCTCTACCAAACCAACCTGCACTTCCTCTGCCAAACCAACCTGCACTTCCTCTACCAAATAAACCTATACTTCCTCTGTCAAACCAACCCGCAACTTCCTCTGTCAAACTAACCTGCAACTTCCTCTGTCAAACTAACCTGCAACTTCCTCTGCCAAACCAACCCGCAACTTCCTCTGCCAAACCAACCCGCAACTTCCTCTGCCAAACCAACCTGCAATTCTACCAAACCAACCTGCACTTCCTCTGTCAAACTAACCCGCAACTTTCTCTGTCAAACTAACTTGCAACTTCCTCTACCAAACCAACCTGCACTTCCTCTGTCAAACCAACTTGCACTTCCTCTGCCAAACCAACCTACAACTTCCTCTGCCAAACCAACCTGCACTTCCTCTGCCAAACCAACCCACAACTTCTTCTGTCAAACTAACCTGCAACTTCCTCTGTCAAACTAACCTGCAACTTCCTCTACCAAACCAACCTGCACTTCCTCTGTCAAACCAACCTGCAACTTCCTCTGTCAAACCAACCTGCACTTCCTCTGTCAAACCAACCTACAACTTCCTCTGCCAAACCAACCTGCAATTCTAGCAAACCAACCTGCAACTTCCTCTGCTAAACCAACCCGCAACTTCCTCTACCAAACCAACCTACAACTTCCTCTGTCAAGCCAACCTGCACTTCCTCTACCAAACCAACCTGCAACTTCCTCTGCCAAACCAACCTGCAACTTCCTCTGCCAAACCAACCTGCAACTTTCTCTGCCAAACCAACCTGCAATTCTATCAAACCAATCTGCAACTCTAGCCCGTCAGTCCCTGTAGGGCTCGGCCAGGTCACTGGGCCCTGTTTCTCACTCAGGCCAACACTTGCCCTCCTGACCAGCTCCCTGCTGCTGGCACAGGTGTGGCTCATCAAATGGGAAAATTAGTCCCGCTCAACCGGCCATGCACATTAGCACATCTGTTTATCAGGTTACTAAATACTCAGAAGTACTCCTGAAGGGGTGGTGAGACAGGTGCACTTGGAGTGATTATTAAAAGAGCATTTCTGAACAGTGACTTTGCAACATGTACCAGCATACTTTCATGTACATGTTCCACCGCTGATGAGCTGTCAAGAAAATAATATCAAATATAGACTATAACTATGTGCTTCCCAACATTATCTTAACCCTGTTAACCAAGCGGGACATATGTCAAACGTAAACAATATCGGGTATGGGTAGGACATATAAATACGTCCCTGAAATATATGTTGCGCCCTGAAATGGGCGGGACCTATATTTCCGAACAACAAAGGTATTAGTCATCCATACATGTCTCGACATGAATTTAAGACACCGAGGGAATCAGTATAATTTTGCTAGTGAGAGTGGTGGACGTGTTCAACAAGAATTGTTTCGGAGTTAATACATGACTTACTGAATAAAGGATATAGGATTTACTTAGATAATTTCTATATGTCAATTCATTTGGCTGAACTCTTGTGTCAAAACAATACAGACATTGTTGAAACAATGAGGATAAACAGAGTCAGAATCCTCAGTGAAATAAAAGCAAAAAAAATTCAGAAAAATGAACATATAGTAAGATTCAAAGACAAACTTATGGTTTTAAAATGGAAGGATAAAAAAGACGTATTGATGCTCAGTTCTATTCATAATGACGAAAAGACAATGATTGAAAAGGGAGGAAGAAGGCAAGAAAAACCGAATGTTGTCCTGGATTATAACAAGAATATGGGCGGCGTAGATTAGGGAGATGAAGTTATGGTGGCCTACACGGCTACCCGTATAGGGTAAAAAAAATTTTTTTCCTACGATTAATTGATATGTGCTGCTTCAATGCATATATCATATACAAAAAAAGATAAAGGTCATTTGGATTGATTACACTTTTTGATAAAGTGTGAAGAGAAATTGGTAGATAACAACATAGTGAAAACCCACCCAAAGACATCAACAAGCAGCTCTACATCTAAACCATCACGCTTAGTTGAAAGGCATTTTCCAGAACAAATGAAAAGCAATATAGGAAAAACTAAATCCAGGAAATGCCGAGTTTGCTACAAAAAAGGTGTTAGGAAAGAATCTACATACTGGTGTCTGGATTGTAAGGTAGCACTATGTATCAACAATTGTTTTAAAATATATCACACGGAAGTTGAGTTTTGAATTTTTACATCTATATTTCAATTTTTTAAACTCAATATTTCTATTTTATTTGTGTGCTTTTGTTTATTGTTCTGTAATTGTTAACTTTTTATATTTTTTATTGTGTATTGAAATAAAAATATATTTTTTTGTAATCTTTATAATTGTTTGTAAAATTTATAATTTTTTAATTCGATGTTTCCATTTTTTTTGTTGGTATTCTTTTCTATTTGTTTGTAATTTTGTATTTTCCTTTCTGCTTTATATATAAATAAACAAAAAAATATATTTCATATTCTTTTCATTTATTTTAAGTATAAATAAAAAATAATAATAATATGAAATTACATCCTCCGGGTGTGACATACTGACACGTCCTATGGAAGAGTATGCGCCCATTATATGTTGCGTAATTAAAAAGGGAATTCCCCGGTTAACGGGTTAATAGATAATCCAATTGCCCTGTAGTTGAAGATGTTGAATACATTTGGATATAACCAAACAGTTGGATATTGTTAAGTCATTAAAAATGTAGTATATGAAAAATGTTTCATAGCAAAGGAGATGCGTACATAATCTGTTAGTGGTATCTCCTTCTGGTGGCCAGAATAAGGAGTCATCCTAATGTGACTCTCATTCCTTGCTGCCAGTGACATTCCCCCTGCCTAAGCCAGTCAATTGCCTTGCCCTGGCCACAGGGATTGGCTGGAGTGTAGGCCGATGACCCAAGGAGGAACAGGAGACACCTGAGACTAAGACTTCCTGGAAGAGAGGCTTTTGCCCTTCCCCCAATGGGTAGACCCACTGAGCCTTCTTTCCAAGGCACACTGGGAGCGAGAAGACCATGGTGAAAGTCCCACGACTAGAGAGAACATCCTGGAGCTCTGCCTGTGCCTGGGTCAGGCTCCTAAAGCCAAGCCTTTGCCGGACTTGTCAGCTACCATTAGTTAGCCACCATCGTTTTCTTAAGCCAGTTAGCACTCTCCTTTTCTGCAACCTGCCACCAAAGAAACTATATGGCACACTTCCACTTTTTAAAATTGCGTCAAAATACTAGTATACACAACATAAAAGTCCCCATTTCAGTGTGTGGTTCAGTAGCATTTAGTACATGCTTGTTGCTATGTAACCATCACCACCATCCGTCTCTAGAACTAGAATTCTGTACCCATCTAAACTAATAAAAGATAAAGATGCAAATTGACTGCAAATCATGATGCCTGCCAGCCAATCAGGAGTAAGTATACAAATAAACCAACAAAGATGGCAGCTTAGTTTGCATACACAGGCACAGAGTGAAGACTGAAGACTGTGGTCGGAGTCAAGCCTGAAGTCTGAAGATTTAGCTCCACTGAAGGCTGAAGGCTTGGCTCTGCTTCGGCCTGGGTCCTGGGTGTCGGAGGAAAACCAGTGCCAGCAGTCAGGGGAAGCAATGCCTATTGCATGAATCTTTGTGCAACAGGCCTCTAGTTAATCAATAATGCCCCATTCCTCCTTCCCCTAAGCCCCTAGCAACCATGATTGTATGACTATTCTAGAATCTCATATAAGTACACTAGTTATTCTTTTGTGACTAGCTTATTTCATTCAGCATGTCTTGAAGGTTCATCCATGTTGTGGCATGTGCCAGAATTTCTTAATGCTGAATTATGTTCCATTGCACACGTATAGTGCACAAAGGAGGACATCACAGGCACCTGGGCCAGCCCGGCATCCCAGCAGCTGTGCACAGACAGTTGTGAGATGTCGGCCTATTGCAACAGCAAAGCCAGATGTCATGGAGAAGCAACAGCAGGCAGCACCTTCTGAAACCTCTTTATCTCTCCCTACCTCCTACCCACCCCCATGCTGCCTTCCATCTTTAAGAAGCTGGGCTGACACCATCTCACCTCTGCCTCTTTGGAGAGTAAACCTACATGCACTTGGACAATTTAGGAAGGAGATGCCCTGAGAGGGGACAAACTAGGCTTCCGGATAGCAGGGACCAGAAGGCTGCTCACTTTCATTTGAAAACAACGTAGGAGATGTGGACATATTGATACTCTGGGTTTGGGGGTTAGATAATTCCAGAAATTCGCAGGCACGCTGCTCTGCACCATGCTGGGCACTGCACACCACAGTTCACGGGACCAGTGACTCTGAGCTTTGCTCCTGGAGCCTCCACAGTGGCCCCCATCCTCTACCTGAGATCCCCTCTCCCCAAACCACCAGCAAACCTGCAGTTTCTTCTAACCCCTTTCATGGCAAAGCCCAACCCGATTGGGTATGTGTTTCTATTGCTTCACTGCAGAAACATCACGTGGAAACTCCGCGTGCCAATGCTCCTGGGGCAGACCCCTGGGGTTTTTAACGAGGCTCATTCTTTGCATTGTTCACACCCACCCCCGATGGAGAATGGACAGGGTTTAAGTGTGGGCAAGATGCTCTCCAAACAGTGCAGAACCTGGGGCCGGGCAGGCGGTTGGGGCGGTGGCTGCTCAGCTCCCTCGGGCAGGCCCATCCCTGCCATGCACAGCTCAGAGCTCCGCTCTCCCACATGTCTCTAAGGCCGCATGGCTCAGTTCTCCTGGCTGAGGAATGTGGTCCAGGCACCACCTTCTGACATGAGCCAAGACCCATACACAACGCCAGTGATAGACCTTTTTGGGGTCCCTGGTGGCCAGCCTTCGGGAGCAGGCTGGGAGGCCCAGGGCTTTCTCCTCAGCTCCCAGCAGAGTCAGGCCTGGGCGAAGCAACAGGCAGCAAGCAGCCCTGTCACAGACCAGGGTGTGCAGGGGAGGCGTGGCTCCAGCACGTGTGCATCCACATCCGGTAACTCTCCTCTTAGCTGGATGCTGAGAGCACAGAGCACTTGCTTTGGGTCCTGCTTGGGGAGTGAGTGAGGAGCTGGGTCGGAATCCTCAGCCAGCGTCCCCTAGACTCACCGAACCATATGCCACCTCCTCATGTGGTCTCTAATGCCCAGGAGCCAGCTGACCAGTGAGCCCCAAGGCTTGAAGTGTGTGAGCACCTGCAGGTCTGACCTCCCCAGGGTGTGGCCTCTGTCCTGCAGGGCACAGCCAGCACCAGCTCAGCTGGGGCTGTGCTGCTGCTTGTTTGGAGGACTTCCTGGTCATGTTGCTTCCTGCGTCCCTTGCTCCTGTGGCCCAACAGACAGAGCCGTGTCGCCCTGCCTTGAGATTCCCCTGAACAGAACTGGCAAGGAAACTAGGAAGATCCCAATTAGGGGCGATAACCCCGGAGAAATCCGGGTTCTTTGCAGCTGACCGTGCTCTTCCCACAGCCCGGGTGCTTGTCCAGTGTTTACAGAGCCTTCATTAGCTCCTGCCGCTCAGATAAGAGGTGGAAGCCGGCATCGGGGCCAGATAAGAAGCAGAGGACTCAGGGCGGCGGGAGCCTGGGAACGGCCAGGCGCTGGGCGCAGAGTGGTTGGCGGGACGATGCGGGCCTGCTCCTCCCGGGCTCCTGCCCACACCCGCTAACACAAGGTGGCCAGCGCCGTCTCCCGCCCAGGGGACCCTGTGCTGTCTCAAGATGTGCCTGGGGGCTTTGTGGGTGGCCCTGCCCGTGCTTTCCCTGCTGGCCTGCTCCGGGCAGGGGAAGCCTCTGGAGGCCCGGGCCCTGGGGTCAGCCAGGGGAGATGCCCGACTGCCCGCAGCCCCGGGAGGTGAGCAGGCTGGAGGTGCCTTCGCCCTGAGGCTGTTCCTGGAGAATATGAAGATGGACTTCCTGCGCAGCCTCAACCTGAGTGGCGTCCCGGCCCAGGACAGGACCGGCGCGGAGCCGCCGCAGTACATGATCGACCTGTACCACCGGTACACCGCTGACAAGTCGTCCACCCCCGCGTCCAACATCGTGCGCAGCTTCAGCGTGGAAGGTAGAGTCCACCCCTAGGGCGCTGCAGGTCGGGGTTGGGGGATGCAGTGTCCACAGCTGCACTGCCCGCTCTGGGGGACACTGGCCACAGGAGGTCTTTAAGTTTCCATTTAAATTCATTAGAATGAAATCAAATGGGTAACTTAGTTTTTAGTTTCACTGGTTTCCATTCAAGTGCCCGGCAGTGGAGTGAGGCTAACGGCTTCCCTGCAGGACCGGGGCTGGCAGCTCTGCCTGGGGAGACCCCTGGGCCTGGGCTCCTGGGCTTGGTGGGAGCTGAGGGCATGGCTATGCCCTCAACCCCCCTCCCTCCCTTTTCTCCCTTCCCACCGAGAAACAGACTGCACATTGGGCCTCCAGCCCCTGGTATGTTTTTAAACTTTGAGAGAACATCTCTCTCATGAAAAGGTATAGAAAATTCATATAAATGCCTCTGAGAGATTAACACTGGAGGACTATTTAATTATTTCCTAAATATATAAGAATGGCCCTGATCTAGGAGGACTGAAAGAGGACAGACATTGACTGAGGGCTATGTCACTCATTCACACAGAGCAGGCGAGATGTCTGAGCAGGGGTGAGGCTGGCAGCTCTATTGGCTGCAGTGGGAGACCCGCGTGGCTGTGGGCCTCCTGCTGGGGCATTCTCCCTCTGAACAGCCCCTTGGCATGGCCTCTCTTTTCCGCCCTGGGCTGGGGCCCGGGGCTCCTGCAGGCCTTGCTCCTGCCACAGCCGCCAGGCCCGCGTGAGAATGTTGTGCCCACAATGCCTGTCCAGCAGTGTCCGATTTCCCAAAAGGAAAAATCTAGATTTTATGTGAACTTACTTGGTTTTAAAACACTGGCTTTATTCTGTTACTCCAATCTGCCAGCATCTCACCAGGCCTCTAGCGTATGTCTGTGTCCTCTGTTTTAGGACTTCCTTGGCTGGACCTAGCCATTGAACCCCACAGTCTGGGAGTCCAACGCTTAGAGTCATCTTAGGGGCACCTCGCTCCACCCTCAGCATATCTGGGCCCTGGAAACAAGCGCTCTGATGGCCACAGCTCTGCCGCTGGCCAGCACTCCTGTAGAGGCCATGCATCTGCCCTTTGAGACATCTGACTGCAGCCCACAGCCATTGCCAAGGCAGGTCAGCAGGAGCGCACGAGGCCCCTAAAAGCGCTCTGCTCACAGACCCCCATTAGTCGATATGCCAAAGCACCTCAGGGGCTCTGTGGGGCTTGGACAGCTGTGAGGGGACCATGGAGAACTGCGCGAAAGGCCAAGTGCTTGCGGGGCAGGGTATGCACCAGTGGGAGGACACAGAAATACTGACTGGGCATCTATATGAGGCAGGGCAGTTTGGCCAAGTTACATGCACCATCGTTTAAAATCATACACTCAGGGTCAGCTCTCAGAAGAGGGCTGTTTCATTGCTGTTGTATTTGGCTCTTTTTTTTTTTTTTTTTTTAAACTGAGGATCTTTGCAGAGCGTGAGCACTTTGGATGTTAAACACCTTAAACCCACACCCGCTCTGTAAAAATGAAGTAACAATAGATCCTCGTGAAGAGTCATATGAAATATATGTGCCGAGTCCCCACTGCAATTGGGGGCGCCTGGTAGAACCTGGGCCTGTCCACTCCATTGCCAGCTTCTCCCTCATCCGCTTTGCTCTGCACAATTCTAAGTGTACCTCTCAGATGCCTCTTCTAACGGAGGACTTACGTGAAACCAAACAGAGATTTGGCAGCCCTTTCATCCCCCTGTGAGTGTCAGCTTGGTGTCCTGAGCCAGACCCTCCCCGCAGATGCCCTTATTGTGTGTTTGTATTTCAGATGCCGTCTCTGTATCCGCCACAGAAGACTTCCCCTTCCAGAAGCATCTGTTGCTTTTCAACATCTCCATCCCCAGGCACGAGCAGATCACCAGGGCAGAGCTCCGGCTCTACAGCTCCTGCCAAGGCCACGAGACGCCCGGTCCTGAGCGGAAGGGAAGCATAACCATTTATGATGTTGTGGGTGGAGCAGACATAGGGGACACTTCTGCGGGAGCCAAGGCCTTCCTGCTGTCCCAGGACATCCGGGGCGAGGGCTGGGCCACCTTCGAGATCTCCAGGGCCGTAAAGCGGTGGGTCAGGGCTGACACCACCAAGAGCAAAAACAAACTGGAAGTGATGGTGCAGAGTCACCGAAAAGGCTGCCACAAGCTGGATATCAGCGTCCCCCCCGGCTCCAGGAACCTGCCCTTCTTCGTGGTTTTCTCCAATGACCGCAGCAATGGGACCAAGGAGACCCGGCTGGAGCTCAGGGAGATGATCGGCCATGAGCAGGAGAGTGTGCTCAAGAAGCTGTCCACCCAGGGCCCAGAGGCAGTTGGGAACCAGGGCGTGGGGGACGTGGAAAGCCATGTGGCCACGGGGTCCTCCTTAGCCAGACGGAAGAGGAGCGCTGGGGCCAACAACCACTGTCAGAAGACCTCCCTGCGAGTGAACTTCAAGGACATCGGCTGGGACAACTGGATCATCGCGCCCAAGGAATACGACGCCTTCGAGTGTAGAGGAGGCTGCTTCTTCCCCCTGGCCGATGACGTGACCCCGACAAAACACGCCATCGTGCAGACCCTGGTGCATCTCAAGTTCCCCATGAAGGTGGGCAAGGCCTGCTGTGTGCCCACCAAACTGAGCCCCATCTCTATCCTCTACAAGGATGACATGGGGGTCCCCACCCTCAAGTACCACTACGAAGGGATGAGCGTGGCAGAGTGTGGGTGCAGGTAGTGCCACCTGTGGGTGGGGGAGGCCAGGTTGGAGGGGCGTAAGGAGAGGTCCTGCGACAGGGACGAGGTCCGTCTGCATGCCAGCCTGGAGAAGGAAAGGGAACTATCACATCCATCGCTCTCCCTCTCAAGGCCACCATTCTGCTAGGTGTAACGGCAGGAGGGCAATGGCAGGGAGGTAAAGCCTGGAGAGAACAGGGCCACCCGGAAGGGTTGTTGGGGTGGAAAGGGAGATGACAAAAAGGCAACATGAAAAAAATAATCCAGAGTCAGCAGAACACTGAACAAAGTGAGCCTGAGGCATCTAGACAGGTAGGTGAAGTGTAGAGATTTATAGAAATTAAGGCGTGAGAGGGACTGGGGCTTATTCCAATAACCTTGAGGACTGTGAGGGAAAGAAATGGACCAAGTGCTTACACCAGTCATTTCATCCCCAAACCCAGTGAGACAGTGTTATGACTCCTAATTTATATATGTGGAACCCCGAACTCAGACAGGTCAAGTGGCACCCATCAGAAATCTGACTCCACCTCACAGGTTTCCATAGGGCCACCTATTGGCCATGTCTAGGATCTTCCCAAGTGCCCATCACAGGGTAGCAGATCACCTTGTAGCTAAAGATGAGTTAGCTGCGAGGAGATGGGGGGCGCGGGCACTGGACTGAGACTGGCCGGTATTCGCCAGCGGGACTGGCTTGCCGGTTATGTTCAGGGCATGTTCTGGCTGCTCAGTGCCGTGCTGACGCAGTGGTCAGTGCTTTTTAACCTCACCCCAGAGTCACTGGAAAGGTGCCCGAAACCAACTGCAGGGGAGAGAGCGGGGCAGCGCACTCGGCCGCAGTGTATACGGTGCCGCAGCCACGGGGCCGCTGGCACGGTGCTCATATGGCCAACAGTTCACACGGCCACTTGCTGCCCATGCATTCAGGCCTTGTGTGGTTTGGGAGGGAAGACACAGCTGCCCTGATGGCCGGGACCTGTGGCCTGCATCTTTGCAGTTCTTCCCTTGGCATAACCAGCTCCCCAGCACAGGCTGTGCTGCCTCCTGGTGTCCAGAGCCACGATCTAGGCCGTGGTGTGGGCATGGGCCGAGCCAGCCCTCACTGACCCAGGAGGACATGGCCTCTGTTCTCTGTATTTCCTCCTCCTCTGACTCAAGGCTCACATGGAATGAGAGGGGGTGAGGAAGAGTCTGGGAGTGGTGAAGACCCCGCTCGATGGCCCTTCTGACCACTGGCCAGGGCCCATCCCAGCAGAGGCCTAGAGAGACCTGGACCATGCCACTGGTGGAAGCTCCGGTGTGTTACAAAAATAAAGGTTTGTGCTGAATGTTTACATGGAGCCAAGGAACAGCTTTAAAATAAAATTGCAATGAAACACCATTGATTACTAGAGTTTTAGAAAACACGAATTCCTGGTATGACAGTGTGCTCAGTCATAAAGATGGGTGGGTATCTTCCTGTCCCAACGATGTGTTTCCGTGCCTGCATCAGAGTTTTATTGGAAATAAAGTCAAAAGTCTACTCTGTGGCCTTTTGTGAATGTGAGACCTAGGCCCGGTGGTCCCTCAGCCCCACACCCTGCCCACCCCTCCCTAAGGCCCTTCTTTCAGTGGGAGGGTGAAGGGGAGGGGATGGAGAAGCGCTGCAGTGGGGGTGGGGACACCGTGAACAGTAGCCCTACGCCCTGCCGGGTGGACATGTCTGTGTAAGGGTGTGTGTGTGGCTATGTGGGCATGGGTGTGGGCATGCATGCAGGTATTTGTAAGTGACCATGGATAATCAGCCGCCGTGCCATTCTCACCCTGCGCACGTGTCAGGGAGAGGCCTGGCTCTTGCTCAGACACACATCTGGCCCCGCATCACCTTCGCAGGGCATGCTGGGCCACACAGTCCCAGCCTCCGCTCCACTCTGTACCTGCTCAGCTGCCACCACCAGCCAAATGCCCTCCAGAATCCCCTGTTCTTGGCCTTTGGGAGCCGCCCCATCCCCATTCCACAGCCCAAGTCCACCTGCTGGGACCCTGCTCTAGTGTCTCCCCTTGGCCCTTTCCTGAGCCTCTGGGGCGGATCTTCCTGGCTCTGAGGACACCAAGCGTCTATCATAGTTGTCACTGGCCCAGGAAGGAGACCTGACAGCCTCTTGTCTTGAACCTCCTGAGGCAGCAAGTCCCCCAGGACAAGGCCCGTGAGCTTCTGGTGTCTGTCCATCCAGGAGGGCTGACACGGCCTGTGGCTCAGGACAGACTGGGGTGGGTGACCATGAGGGACAGGACAGAGGTCATGCAAGGAACAGCCCCAGAAGTGTTCTCTGGCCCCATCCTCACCAGTTTCCCTCAGTTCACCCAGCCGGAGATGGAAAGGCAACAGCACCACCCTGTGGACCCTGACTGTAGCACCTGCCCTTTGCCTGAGGACCACCTTCACCCTGCAGGGTAGTTTCTAACCATGCTCCTGTTTGCCACATGAGAGCAGTGGCATTGCCATCATCGCACATAGCAAAGTGATGGCTGGCAAGACTGAAGGCTGTTCTGAGCTCTCATGTGACCTACAGTCCCGACCGGAGCAGGGGAGAGAGAGACTCAGGGATGGTGAGCAGAAGCCCCAGGCCACACAGAGACAGTGGGGTGGGAGTGGAGTGGAGGGACTGGGAGGACAGCCAGAGAGGGAGGCCGGGGCACCCCCAGACCAGGCTGGCTCTGACAATAGACATCTATACCACAACCTTTATAGTGGAAAGGCCTCTGGCTTCAATATGGGGTAATTCTGAAGGGCCTTCCTGCTCCAGAGCTCCTCAGAATTGGCCGAGACCCCTGCTGCAGCTGCATCGCCCTCAGACTCTCCCTCTGCCCAGGGCAATGCCTGCCCCTCACCCCCTGGGACTGTGAGGGACCAAACCCCAGTGCAGATTGAACAGCTGGCTGAAGGGCAATGCATGCATTTGGAGGGTAATGTGGAGCAAATAAAAAGACTGAGGTCCATGAGCAGCAGCATGTCTAGACGTTAAATCCTATCGCTGAGCGGGAAAGCAAGTAGCACAGCGAATGCCCAGCGTGGCGTTAGCCACATCAATAAGCCCCACACTGAGACTGTGTGCAGCCTAAGGAGATGCTTGCACAGCAGGAGGCAGCTTATAAAAGCAACAGAGCACTCAGCACAGGGAAGGAAGTGGATGATGTCATGCGTGGTGTCTTCACCATCATCCTTGCAGTAATTTCTTGATATATTTGTCCTCCCCTTGGGAGGGTGATTTGTCTTTGGGTCTCCAGCACAGAGGCCAGGGGGACACCAGCATGAGGCTAGATAAATGCCCATTGCATCTGCCCCTACCTTGTCCAAACATGTCCCTTACCCACTGTCAGCACCGTGAGGCTGATGGCTGACGGGTGGACTGGTGAGGAAGACAGACTTCAAAGGCAGCTTGAACTTGCAGTCCCCACGTGCCTAGAGTCCACACACACTCTCCCAGGGCCGGGCAAGTGGGACCTCGTCCTGGGAAACAAAGGCCACCACTGCCCAGGCCAAACAGCTAGCACAGAAGGAGGGGAGACCAAGCTCTAGAGAGCATGAAGCCACAGACATGGTGCGGATCCCTGACAACATCAAGGTGCAGCTTCCTGTGTCTTTGGATCTGGATAGTGAGTGGTGCCCTCTGTGCTTCCCCGCGACCCCAGCATTACATTCACTGCGGAAGCCACGAGAGCCCCACCTCCAGGGCATCCATGTCAGTGCTGAGCTGTTCTTCCTCTGCTTGGACGATGCTTCTGCCAAGCTGTGCTTGACCAGTCTCTCCCTCTGGCTCTCTGACTACCATCCGGTTTGCCAGGGATGGTCCTGGCTTATGCCTGCGTTCTCTGTGTAGTTAGTAGCAGGGCCCTTGTTGGACAGCATGTTACATACGTGGTGTCCATCGTCACAGACAGCTCTGGGGCTGACAGCAGAGGACAGCTGGGAACAGCAGGGTGGTGGGAAGGGCATGGGGTGTGAAGTCACCTATTGGCTCATGGTTATGTCAAAGCAATGGGCTCATTGAGCCTTGATGTCCTTGCATATCACTCCACAACATGGCTCGCTGATGCTTCCTGCTGCCTGGGGAAAGTTCACCTGGGCCCTCACATTTTCTGAGTAATGCTCAGGAAAATATCAGAGCCATTCTATTATCTTCTATTGTCATTTTTGGCTCTGAGCCTTCATTTGTATAACCACCACCCCCCCTTCCTATCCATTTTCTCTCCCTGTTCCTGGTTTGGAAGTGAGGGTCCTCCCATGCACATTCCAGAGCTCCTCCGTGTACTTGGCATCCAGACCTGAAACTTAGCCACATTCTTAGGGCTCGCAGAGACATTTTTCATTTCCTTGCTCTTTCTGGGCCCAGGGGCCTCACAGACCAGATCCTGATGCCTGTTAATTATTGAGGTTCAGACATATATAGATATGTTTGGTGGACAAAAACATACAGTAAGAAAAGCTAGTCTTGAGGGGAAACATCACAAATGAGGATGGAGCCTTGCAGGCAAGCCCTTCTAGGCAGCAGAGTTTGGTGATTCGAGACCCAGGGTGAGACCACACCAGACAAGATTATATAGGCCAGGGAAAAGAGGACAATGGTAAGCCAGGCAGGAGAGAAACATTGAGAGGGGAAGTTGGTAGAATTATAGCAGGATCTTCCCTAAGAGGGCTAGGCACTAGAAAAAGAATGTCTTTGCTTAGTGGACTAAACTCAACCATATAAGTGATAATGAGTGCTGGCAAGGATGTGCAAAAACAGACCCTCAGAGACTACTGGTGAGAAGGTAAAATGGCGCAGCCATGTTGGAAAACAGTTTGGTAGTTGCTCATAAAGTTAAACATAGAGTTACCATATGATGCAACCAGTCCACTCCTAGGCATATTCCCAAGAGAAATGAAAATGTATGTCCATATAAAACTGCACACCAATGTTTATGGCAGCATCATTCACAAGAGCCAAAAGGTGGGAACAACCCAAATGTCCATCAAGTGTTGAATGGATTAACAAAATGTGGTCTATACACACAATGGAGTATTATTCGGACATCAAAAAAAGGAAGTACTGGCACATGCTACAACATGAATAGCATGTTGTAGCATTATGCTGAGTAAAAGAAGCAGTTACAACAGACCACATGCTGTATGATTCCAGGCATGTGAAGGTCCAGAGCAGGGTGAAGGTCTATGAGAAGAGTGATTTATTTGGGTGAGGAAGCAGAGATAGGGGATGGCAATGGGGGTAATAGCTGAGGAATGCTGGGTTTCTTTCTGAGGTGATGAAAATGCTGTGATGGCTCTACGTTTCTGTGAAATATTGAATTGTGCGCTTCAAGTGGGTGAACTGTGTGCATGTGAATTGTATCTTAATAAATGTGTTTTTAAAACATTAAACAAGACCATGTTCAAAAAAGTGATAGAACATGGTGTAAATGGGATGATAATTTTTCAAATCCATTCTGCCTTCCCAAGCCTTCTCTCTCTATCCACTGCACCTTTTTCTTTGTGTGACTCTAAATGTCTCCTCCAATCCCTCCTGATTAGGTTGCCCTCAGAGCCTTGAACCAGCTTGTCCTTGGAGCCAAGCCCAACAGGGACCAGATTCCCCCCCCAAGACCAAGCCCTCTTAGCTCAGAACACGCAACCCAAGTGGCCCTCGTTCAGGAATCTGCACTCAGCCAGAGCTCGCGGGGATGCTTGATGGAGGCGGACACATGGGGGCTAGGACTCTCGGTGTCACTAGAAACTGCCTTGCTCTGACCCAGGCAGCATCCCCACCTCTCAGGATCAGTTCCACAGAAGGCACCTTGGACAAACGACATAGAGAAGGCCTGTCAATGTCTGCCTCTTGGCCTTTCCCTTCTCTGGTCCCTACCCCTCTTCCTTGGCCAGAACCAGCCCTCACATCAAGGCGGCTTCCTGGTGAGCGGTTCCAGACTCACTTCCTGGGCCTGAACCATCCCGAAGCCCCAGGCCTTCCAGTGTCTGCCCCCTACTTGCTCCCAGGCTTCCCAGATGACTCCTGCTCATAGATTTCCAAGACTGTGATTTACTCCCAGCCACCCTCAGACTCCATCCAATTCATCCCATGTTAAGCTCTGGCTCCCTGGAGACAGGAGGTGGTGGCTTCACCCCAGTATACAGCACACTCTACGTTATCAGAGACATGGCATTTCTGGGATTCATAAAGCCATAGGGATGCAAGTCCCTGCTCATGCTGCCCCCTTCACCACCACAAGTCATGCCTAAAACTGTGACACAGACCCAGAAACTAAAGCCCAGGTAAGCAGGTACAGAATCCCTAGAGGGCAGTGATGTCCTCTCTTTCTTCAGCTGGTCATGCTCCCCAGCTCTGTGGTCTTGGGAGAGTTCTGTAAACTAGTCCAGCCTCAGCT